AGTTCTATTTCGCGTATTATACTTATTCATGAAGGGTACGTAAATTAGTATTTATTCAACATGACTTCGATTCTGTCACAAGTCATCTCAAATTTATCACCTTTAGTTTAATTTTTCCAACCTGAATTAAATTTATATTGTAATTAAAACCACGTGATAAAACAATTATAAGCAAGGTTGGCAATAGCTAATATAAGAGGTAATCGCCGACTGAATTCTATTTTGAGGCAAAAGACAAATCGTACTATAAAAATGGTATCGAAAATTTTTATGACCGCTATAATCGTTGTATGCTTACGAAAGGAAAGCAAAATATTTAATAAAATAATCAAAGCAAATTCTATTAAAAAAAGTTTCTTATAGAATTTGATTTGACTATTTAAATTTTTCTATTTTACTTACAAGCTATCGCAACATTTTTTGTAGATATTGATATGTGCTTTAATAATGTGGAACATTTTTTTGTTATATCATCATTCGTTTTTTTTACATTTTGACACCTTGGGTAACAATACTTTTTATCATCAGGGATCCTTATCTTTTCTTGCAATTAAAATAGCCTATATTAATCAGTGATAATGTAGCATTCAAATGGTGAAAGAATTTTTAAAATCGGTCCAGTACTTTTGAGCCAATTCGTTACAAATATACTGACATACAAATCTTTTCTCTTAATATAGACAACATAATTCTAATTTCCTTTACATAAACCGTGTACTTGTATAAATATTTTCCAAAATAAAATATACTTTACGATGTCCAAAAACAAAGTAGAAATAACAGAGCTGTTTTACTCACCCACGCCACAATGAATTTCCTTTGTTTGAATACTAAAAATATCCCTTGTATAATTCCTGACAAATAAGCTAAAAGTTATTCCTTGTATTACTATTCGTATTCTTAAGTTAAATTAATAAACAATTGTATTGTGTTAGAAATAGGAAAGCGAAGTATAAAAGTTCTAAGAGAGGTATTTGTGAAACAATATACAATAGTTTTCGCTGTAAGACACTTGTACCGAGTTCCTTATAACACAATATCCAATAGAAGGCGTGGCCTAGTAGCAAAATATGACGCCACACTTAAACTTGCACTCGGTGATATCATATGGCATTGAAAGAATTTTGCTTTTGTACTAAATTTATACAGAAGACGATTTTTGAAAAAGGTGAGGTCTGAGCTGTCATTTGAAAGTGTAACGTGACTCGCATGTGTAAAGATTTAGATTGTTTTATACAGAAGTGAAAATGCCGTAGTTTTTTTTATGTAATAGAAGGCAAACGGGCAGAAGGCTCATCTGATGTTAAGTGATACCGCCCATGGAGACTGACTTTTTGTTTGTACAAAAGTCGATTGTCGATTGTTTTATACAGAAGTGTTGAAAGTAGTTTTCTGCTGAGTTTTACAATTAAAAATAAATAAATAAAATAAAAATCATTTAATTCAGACCATTATAATTCCATATATTGTTAGTAGAGTAATACTTATAACTATGTTAGTAAAATTAAAATTAGCAAATTTTAGATAATATATAAAATTCTCGTGTCACAGTTTTCGTTGCCATACTCCTCCAAAACGGCTCGACCGATTCTCATGAAATTTTGTGTGCATATTGGGTATGTCTGAGAATCGGACAACATCTATTTTTCATCCCCCTAAATGTTAAGGGTAGTCCACCCCTAAATATTTTTTTTATATTTTTAGATATTTTTTTCTGTTTTTATTTTTTTATGATACAGCATTAAAAAATACATACAAACCCTTAACTTTCACCCCTCTACGATCAACCCCTATTTTTTTTATTATAAATGATATATATGGTAAAACGACGTTTGCCCGGTCAGCTAGTCTAATATATAAAATTCTCGTGTCGCGGTGTTTGTAGTTAAACTCCTCCGAAACGGCTTGACCGATTCTCATAAAATTTTGTGTGCATATTGGGTATGTCTGAGAATCGGACAACATCTATTTTTCATCCTCCTAAATGTTAAGGGTAGTCCAGCCCTAATTTTTTTTTTTTTTTAATATTTAGATTTTTTATTTTTTTATAATACAGCATTAAAAAATACATACAATCCCTAATTTTCACCCCTCTACAATCAACCCCTATTTTTTATTATAAATTATATACATGGCAAAACGACGTTTGCCAGGTCAGCTAGTTATTATATATAAGTCTGAGATAAGATATTTATATGAAAAGTCTTAACAAAAACAACGATGTTTATATTTTATATATTTAAACTTTAATAGTTATACAGAGCAAGGTACTGGGCTGTTGCTACGAAAATAAAAGCTGAGAGATATAATCTTTGAATACATTTTTGAACGCATTTCATTTCATTCATGGAAAAGTAAAAAAATTTGGTTCGGAAATACTTCAGCGGGCAACTGGTTCCACATAGTGGTGATGCGCGGCAGAAACTCCCTTATAAAACGCTCAGTTGTGGAATGACGGACGTTGATTTATTATTTATTTGCAAATATGCTAAATAACTACATTAATAAAATCGCTTTACTTTATCAACTGTGTTATTTGTTTTAAAAATTTTAACCAATGGGCATCAAAAGCTTACATCTAGGAACACAATAACAATAAAAACTGATTGTACGCCCTTAAACACATCATTAACTTAACTATTGCTAACTTGAAGAATTCTTACAAACTATAAATATGTGATTAATAATACGAGAGATAAATCAATATCATCTAATCGTGCTACATACGTATAATTTGTATCTACAATTTTCATAACCTACAAAGTAATAATACAAATTATTAAAAAGAAAATTAAAACAAATTTAAAAAGTTAGGTCCCTGTGGCAGTGTACCTTTAACGCCAGTATTTCCTAGCTGTATTGCGATACTTATTCGTTGAGCGAGGAAAGCACCAGTTCTTGGGTCACAGGTATCTACCAGGCGCCAACTTAAATCTTTAATAAGCGCCTGTGCACTTGAACCCCATGAGTCTCTATTCCAAAGGGAACAAAATTGGAGGATAGACTCTTATATTTGTGCCGTTTAGAGATAAATATGTTAAGATACTGCAAACATTTGTAAAAGATAACTCTGCGAAATTTTAAGGAAGAGATAAACTTCAGGGGAAAATGTCTGTTTGCTTGTTTTCGTTTTTTACATGTTGTACATTTAAAAAACATTATCACGTGTATTTTTATAATCCGAAGAAAATTATGATGTCTATTGAATTAAAGCGTGACATCATTTTCATTGTGGCATTTTAATTATTTTCCTTTACAAAGTTACGTAACGAATAAAACTCGTATATCGAGGTACTGCCTTGCGATTCTGTAACTCACTTTTCGAACTCTCACAGCGGTTTTCGCAGCGGCGGTCGCGCTTAAATCAGTCGTAAAGCAGTCATTTTACGATTTGGCATTCTGATTAACACGTTCGTTGCATTACGAGATCTATCAGATCTCTTGCAGGACTTTTGTATTGTGCGTTGAACATAATCGTGTTTTTTCACTCCTTGCGGGAGGATCTAACTTGTAAAGTTCTTTAAGGATGAGCAGGACAAATATACATATTTGCTTCGTACTTAAAGCTGAATTCAAGGACTTTAAAAAATAAATTAGAGATGGATTAGGTCCCTAACGCACAGTACTGTAATTGTTTTAATTCCTTGCGTTAGGAGATATGTCGGTACTCGTGAAATCGTACGCCTCGTAGACGCAAGAGATGAAGGATGGGATTTTTAGTGTTGTCCTAGAATCGACATTCGGGAAGTCGCGGGCACGTTTTGGAAATAATACTCGCGTATATATCAGCGTGTTGATTATTTTTGATAAACAATGAGTGATTAAGTTTAAAAGAAAAAAGTGTAAAAAATCTATTTTATTAGTGAGGTTTCTAACAAAAAATCAACGCCGGATTATACTGCTGCATCGTCCAGTAAAATATTTGTTTTGGAAAATGTTCAAATTTGCCCCCCATTGACTAATAATGACAGTGATTCTGATTATGAAATATTTAACGATAAACCTTTTTCGTTGGAGCTCACGCAGTTAAACAGCACTGACGCTTCTAAAAAAACTAAACGAATTGTTACCATTTGCGCGTAATGTGCAAGCAATCAATGTGCTTACCATGTTTTAATAAAAAAAAACACTTTTCATAATTAATAAAACTTTTAGAATCGATAACTGAGATATTATTTTATTCCCATCACTACTTACTACACATATTGAACTATCTTCGGGTGCGGTACGAGATACAATCGATATCTAATTTTTTTTTGTTATTTGTAGTTTATTCAAATGTCGTAACTGCGTGCGAACCTAGCAAAATATAAAGCAATTAGCTATCTTTCACCCACAAAAAATTCAAAATATATATCATTGTTTTTTTGGAAGATATAAATTATTTTCAAAAGTGTATTTTTAGGAGACTGATTAGGTCTCAAACGCACCAGAGGATAGGCTTGTTACGAGATCTTTTAGGTCTCCAACGCACCAGCTGAAAGTTCTTTAAAAATGATGGCGCAGTGAACGTGTTAACAATAAACTACAAGCTCCCTTATCAGAATGTGGCTGCTGTGTGTGGCTATTAATTATTTTTATATTTAACAGACATATCTGCTATCCAACCTCTTGTCTGTCATATTATGAAATTATAAGATATGTTATCAATTCACTAACATTTAATTTCTGGAACTTATACCACAACAATACAGATACACCAGCGTACATGCTCGTACATAAATTAGTATGCTGTACTAAATGCTAAAACAAATCGATTATTAGTGCCAAACAGCACATAAAACAATACATATATCGAAGTCATATATGCTAACAGACACGTTATCTTAAGAAAATAACCAGTGACTCTCTTTGCAGGTTAAGCAGACTACTTGGAAGGCAATTATAAAAAGTACGAGTTCCTTGCACGATACACAAATACCCTTACACCGTCGATGTTTACTTTGGGAGTCTTATCATTTGATAAGTTAAAACACAAGCCAATTGTAAACAACCTTATCATGGTAACGTTCTTACTGAAGACGCGAAAGTATCCAGAATCTGATACACGGCGCGACGCGCTCCGTATCTAAATCGTCTGTGAAAACTGTCGGTATGGAAGTAGAAGTTTGTATAAATGGATAAATAGTGCACCAAAGAGAGAAGTGGTTTCTAGTCGGTAGTTGCTGAAGTGTATCAAACTGGAGGACCTACAGACCTTGGACAGCGCTGATGGCGTTGGCGATAATGTTAGTGAGGAATGCCTGGAGAAGAATTTCAATCTGTCCTTGAACTTCTGTCCTGCCTACTTCGATGGACTTCTGTGCTGGGACCCAACGCCGTGGAACACCCTGGCCGTGCAGAAGTGCTTCAGCGAGTTCCACGGTGTCCAATATGATAATACTCGTAAGTATGAATTGGACTATGATTTTAGTTTATTTATTATGATCAAATTATTGAGCCCATAAATGAAGTAATGAATTAGTTTTATCAATCTTAAATGAGAGTGTATGACTAAATTTCCTAAATTTGACTACATATTACGTCACATATATCTTATATCGATCTTACCTACACAGATTTAACGAATTTTCTAGATAAGAATTCTTTATAATTGTAAAATCCTAATAGCATTTTTTCTCACATTTATAAAAACATTTACGTATAGGTAGTACGTTTAAAAAGACTTAAAACATGAAGCTATGTTCGTAGAAAGAAATGTTTGTACTTGTAGACAAGCTTTGTCTTAATTCAATAATAAATAAATGACGATCGAGGAACAGAAACAAAAATATAACTATTGGAAAGCGAAATAGCTAATAATAAATATTCTAAAAGATACAAGAATCTCGTAACAATCAATAAAGCTATTTTAACAATAAAACTTCCAAGAACGATCCAAATAAACTACTTTGTTTTTACCAAATGTTCGTGATCCGACATGAAACTTCGCGACATTGAATATTTCATGAATGTCACCGCAATCAAGACACTTTTGTTTACCAAACAAAAAGCCTTTGTTTGAAATAGGTTTTGTTTCAACTCTAAAGTTTATTATTAAGACTTTACAAGGCCTGAGATACAAATAGGTGCGATTGTGAATTTCATTATCCATTTATGAATCGTTTCGCTTCTAATTTATTATACAGTCAAGCGTTTGTTACCATTTGTCTACATTATGCATGGGGTTCTAAGAAATATTAATTACTAGCTTACGCCGGCGATATTGCTTTCGATTGATAAACAAAATATTGGTTTTTAAAGTAACATCTCTCACTGACATAGACATACAGAAATTGTGTCGAAAACACAAACTAATTGACGCTATGATTCCTATGTATTTAATATCTTACATAGTACTTTGAAGTATGAAAGAACATACTAGAAAGAAATATAATATTAAAGGCCGGCAACGCGAGCCCTCTGTCATTGAGAGTGTCCATGGGCGGTGGCGGTATAACTTAATATCAGGTCAGCCTCCTGCCCGTTTGTCCTCTAGCTTTTGTTTCGTTTTGAGCTATAAAAAACAATATAATACCCATACAATTTGACGACTCATTGGTCTAGTGGTTAGTACCCCTGACTGCGAATCCATGGGTCCCGGTTTCGATCCCCGGCTGAGACGAACATCGATGTAATGAGCATTTGATGTTGTGCTTAGGTCTTGAGTGTTTAAATATGTATTTATATGTCTATCTATCTATAATACGAGGGGAGGTCCAAAAGTTCGTATGTATGTATATCCGTTGCCTAGAACCTACCCATAACACAAGCTTCACCAGCTTAGCATAGGACTAGGTCAATTGGTGTGAATTGTCTTTAAAAAAAAATACAAATATGAAACACGTTTTCGGTTCCAGTAGGTATTTAAAGTGAAAACGTTTGCCATAGGTACCCACAGCCTTCTGTTGGCACGGCTTATAACACTAATTATTATTTTCAGAGATAATTTTTAAACTGTGCATTCATTATTCGTATTCATATTTTAGATTGGTTACTTTTTAATTTACAAGCCAGTTTGTATTTTTAATTAATAATTAGAAAATTTATAAATAACTAAGACGTTTTATCAATGTTTATAAAGCCAAACCAATTAAAGTATTTACCCGGTGATAACAATATAATAACATTGTGTTTAATCAAATTAACTTAAAGCAATTGTGAAAATGAAACAAAATTCTTTGATAAAGATATTAATTTATGGTGGATGGTATTTTATGAGCTTGATAATATACAAACAAAAAATACGAAATAGAAAGATTATGTACCCTTAATTAATTTAGAAAGTAATGCTAATTTATAATGTGTTAATTAATTATTTTAAAAAAGTTTTGAAGTTATACTACTTTTGGCGAACGATGAGAGTAAATTTTTACGATGCTGCGCACACTGTCACAAAAAACCGACACCCTGAAGTTAGCTATAGTCAACATCTTAGTTTTTTGTAGTTATACTACTTTTGGCGCGTTAGGGAAAAACGATGAGAGTAAATTTTTACGATGCTGCGCACACTGTCACAAAAAACCGACACCCTGAAGTTAGCTATAGTCAACATCTTAGTTTTTTGTAGTTATACTTCTTTTGGCGCGTTAGGGAAAAATAATGAGATTAAATTATTTCTATTGTTAGTCTCGTTTCTACAAACGTAGAATAAGGCGAAAGATAAGAATTTTGAAAAGATTTTTATCTTGTTACGCCAAAGAAGTATAACTTCTAACGCGTGAACATAAGTACACACACGTTTTTTTATTTAATTTATATTTAAAACCTATGTTTATAATAAAAGTATTTGAAGGTATTAAAATCTATACTAATTTGACACGGATGACCGCCATGATTGTAATCGCGTGTTTGGTTAGACTGGCTCGCTCGGTACGCGTTTTCAAAGTTGCAAATTTCGCAATTTAAAATCAATTTTGTGTTTAATTAATGCACCCTGGACTATAATTTTTATATTGGGTGTTTTGTGCTTCGGAAATAAATAAAATAAATCAGTGGCGCAGATCAGATTTCTGTATCTGTTTCATGATCATTTTTTGTCTATCTGATAGGCAAGTAGAGGTAGAGGGAGGGTAAAACTTGCTGAGTTTTTTGCCCGTTCTTCTCAGAACAAGGCCTCCTGGTAGTTTTGCGAACGGGTGGCGTATTCTTCCTATTTCGCGAATTTTGTTAACGTTTTTGACATTCATAAGCATGCCCTAAGACGCGAATAATTGTCCTCCACCAATTTCAGTTCTGAGCTTCTTTTACAACTGTGTATCTCGTTGGCGAACGTCCACGCGATCTTTTGCCTTCGGTGTTGCCAATCATGACGAGCTTGTCTCTATTATCGTCACCACTGCATTGTTTGACCAACGTATGAAATAATGCGTTCTATTAAGCATTACATTAAATATGTATAAAATACTCTCATTTATTGTTATTAGACATAATTATACACAAAAAAAAGAACATAAAAAACAATAACTAATCTTAATATATATTATAAAAAGGAGTTCCTTTAGCCAACGTTCCGAAGATACTGGCAGCGTAATGGCAGGCTAATTCTTTGTCCGAGGTAGCTGCCAGCTCTTCGTTCTCCAGTGATGTTGACAATATATATTAAAATATGTATTTTCTTAAACAAGTTCGTCGTCCCACAACCGACGCGTCACGCATTAAACGTACGCTTTAAAAGCCTTATTACAAATACGAAAAAACTTATTTTTCATACAAAAAACGCTCCCAATGAGTAGCATCGAAAGGGCCTTTATCTTCTTTTCAGGATCAGAGCAAATGAGCTTACGGTGCTAAATAATGAGCCAGTGGTACAACCCTGGATATTGGGCATTGCATGGCCCTGGATTTCTGCGTCCGTTTCGTTAATAATTCTTCATACTTACATACTTCAAACATATATGATGTAATCGGTGCTCTAAAAGTAATCGGTTCTTTGTAACACAACGTCATTTCATTATAAGTAAAAGCTTCCTCATGATTTGTGCCAATAGAAAAAAATATACCTGCAAAATTGGCTTAAAGCCACCTGCTTGGACTGGAATGAAGGACACTGATGAACGTCAAGAAAGAAATATACATTAAATGCTTCTAATTTTAGATTTACTGCTTCATCTATCAAGGGCGTAGAACGGAAGAGAAGAACTGGCAATAAACTCTCCGCCACTGTTTTTAATCGCCAAGTTTTTGTTTTACACAACGTTTGTAAGGAGCTGCAACCATTACACCATGTTCCGCATGACATCTTAAGTAATAAAATTTTCCTTTCACAGAAAATGCATCGCGATTATGTTTGGAGGGAGAATGGCATAATTACTCCAATTATGCCAACTGCACGGAGAGGATTGCCAACGTATCACCAACAGATGTCAGTAGCCTGATTTACCTCACTGGTTACTCCATCAGCTTGGCTGTACTGTCTCTGGCAGTCTTCGTATTCTTGTATTTCAAGTAAGTTCATACTCAACAACTTGTCTGAATCAAATGTTAATTATTATTTATCTATAAGCAGTATGAAGTATTTCCGTACCAATTCGACTTAGGGTCCTTTAAGAAAAGAGCGTACCAATTATTAAAAGGCCGGCAACGCACTCGCGAGCCCTCTGGCAATGAGAGTGTCCATGGGCGGCAGTATCATCTAACATCAGATGAGCCTGCTGCCCGTTTGCCCCCTGTTCTATAAAAAATAAGCCCCCTAAAACTCCTTGTTTATCACGTCTCACTATTGAAGGTATTACAAAGTATTTGTTGTAAAATTCCTAAATTATAAAATGTTGATAAATATATTTTCAAAGATTAATAAAACAGCAATGTTGTTTAAATTGATTTACAAAGCGATTTATTTTTTCAAAGGTAGCACTTCTAGACTCTAATTAATTGTATCGATATATCGCAAATTCGCTTGACTGAATAGATTGTATGTAAATTCTAATATACGTATGATAATTTTGTAAACATTCTGAGTATCACTAAGAAGTTTTGAATATGAGACACTGTTTTATTCAGGTTCCAACGAATCTATTTGCTCTTAATTTCAAGAAGGTTTTCTTTTACTTGAATGAATTGATTAAAAAAGTCGTAATGCAACTTCCTATATTAGGTACTTACATAACATTTAAATGTACTAAAAATAAAAATGTTTAAAAAACACAAATTATGTATTTCAACGTTGACATTCCAAATTATTGACATTTAATATGGAATTGTTTCTGAAATCAAGTTGAAAAAAATCGTTACATATGCTAAAATCATTTTTACTTAGATATAGAGAGATTGCATACAAAAATGTCGTGATCGCATTTGCTATGGCATGGAATTTACAGAATACCGATGCTACCTTTAATAATACAAACAAAAGTTTTTAAGAAAATAAATTATTTTACAGAGACCTGAGATGTCTTCGCAATACAATACACACAAATTTGATGACAACATACATTTTGTCTGCGTGTAGTTGGATGTTAAACTTAGCTTTACAAGTGAGTATACTATATTACTGTGGTACATTATAACATATAGCCTATAGCATTTTTCTCTCTCGAAACAAACTTGACAAAATGTATAATAAAAGGTAGTAAAAATCCTAACTTATTTGATTGTACACAATCTAAGATAACGAACTCAGCATGACAATTTAAATTAATTTAGAAACATTATATAATCATTTAGCATAGTAAAAAATCAGAAAGCAGAAAAAGTTTTAACAATTTCTGTTATAATTTATTGTATTCGATGTCCCTGAGCATTGTTGGCCTATTGGCTAGTAGATTCGAACCCCGGCTGTGCACCAATGCACTTTCTATCTATGTGCGCATTTAACATTCGCTCAAACGGTGAAGGAAAGCATCGTGAGGAAACCGGCTTGGCTTAGACCCAAAAACGGCGTGTCAGGCTAAACACCTACTTGCCTATTAACAAATGATCATGAAACAGATACAGAAATCTGAGACCCAGACCTAAAAAGGTTGTAGCGTTGACCCTGGGGCTTAGTTGGTTAGGTATACTGCGTATTTTCATATTCATATAGATCTGCACAACCCCGAGTACAAAGGCCTCATTTATAAGTAGGTGATATAGGTACAGGCTTATAAATAAAAAGATCAATTTTTCAATCAATAAGTAATATTAATTCCAACACACAAATATTGAGTATTTACATTTGTAATAATAATAATGTTAAGCGAGGAAACCTCTGCCTATTGATAAATAATAGATATCTATTCAAGTAAAGGTTCTTTAATATGGGGTTAGCAAAAACTTTGCTTACTCAGTTTATAAGATAAATTATGGCGTAACATAACACTACTGAAATTTAAATTACATTATCTCTTTAACAAAACATTTATAGTCAAATAAATGTCTTACAAAACACTTTTGAATCTCGATATTTATTCGGAATCTTTAAAAGTGCCGTTAAAATGCCTTACAAAGATTTCTGATTTCTCATTCAAACAAAACAAAAAGACAAAACAGTGGCGTTACGACCTTTTTAGGTCTTTTTGTATGTGTGTGATGATCATTTGTCAATCTAATAGACAAGTAGGTGATCAGCCTCCTGTGCCTGACACTCGCCATCGACTTTTTGGGTCTAAGACAAGCCGGTTTCCTTACGATGTTATCCTTCACCGTTCGAGCGGATGTTAAATGCGCACCGAAGAAAGTCCACTGGTGCACAGCCGGGAATCGAACCTACAATTACAGTAGGCCAACACTGCTCTCACTCATCTCATTTCTCATTCAGTAAGGGGTAAAGCTTAGTTCTCGTACTTCCGTATCTAGAGCATGCGAATGCCTGTTTTAAATTCCTACACATAAACCTGTTTGCAAAGAAAATGTTCAGACGTCCTGAAACAATTTCTCGAACGTGCGAAGAAAGGAAACCTACGTCAACGCTTCCTAGCAAAATATCCGCTTAAGGAAATAATGAGACGAGATTGATACTATGAATGTTAAGATTATCTGTACTCTAGAAATCACGTGTAAATATTAAATTTAATAGAAAAAATGATGATCAGTCGGCGATTGAGCGCCTCAGATTAAAGTAAATTTATTTAGAATGTCTTTCTTCTATTTGACTATTTCCATAACATAAAACAATGTATATAGAAAATATAAAAAAAAACTAATTTCCCTTATAATACGAGTAAAAGGATAGTTTGAAGAATATTTTGTTTACTTTTTTTTTAATGTTTACATCATGTATTAAAAACTATTTACTCTATAGGTATATATTATATATTTAATTAAACTAATAATAGTAATGTAACTTTTTTACAAATCGTTATTTAAAATTAACCGCTCACCTTTAAAAATGCTTTGCATTGGTCTAGAAAGATCGACTGTTCTATCAAGAATTATTGAAACGAAATCGCGGGCACCAGGTAATACTAAAATTGAAATACAGTACTATGAAACAGCTGTACACGAAGATATATTTAGTTTTATTGACCATGGTTCTTAACAAATCGGCTATATGCTTTCCGTATTCGCCCCAAAGAACCTGAGAATCTAAAACGAATGTACGTTTCCTTTATTTTTTTGCTCTCAAACAATACACTTCTAACAAAGAGGACAATCAGATACTTATGAAAATATGTTATAGAAAGGATATACACGTGTGAAAATGAGACAAGCAGATCCATGCAACTTCCTCACAATCAAGTAGCCCGCAAAATGGCACACAACTCACGGGGGGACTCTTTGTGTTGAAGAAGGGGCATGGGTCCTTACTAAATCACAATTGGCAATTAACTAGATTATGAATTTTAATTTGATCGATTTAACCTATTTGTTGATTCAATGACCAAATAGTTCTTGAGATAGAAAGTGTCTTGCGCCTGGAAGATATTTTGGTCCCTTAAGGAAGTACTTAAAAGTAAAGACTTCCCAATGGTAGCTAAGAAAAAGGTGTTCAACTTAAGCATCCTACCATGTGTCACATACGGCTGCCAGACTTGGGAATCTCAGAAACATCTTCTAAAGTTGAGAACATGCCAAAGAGGAATGGAAAGAAGCATGGTGGGTGTAACACTTCTCAGAATCAATGAAAAAAATTCTCAGAATCAAAGAATGGTGGGTGTATCACATCAAAAAAGAGCAGAAGAGATAAGATCGACAACCAAAGTAGAGGACGTTATTAAGAAAATAAGGCAATTGAAATGGCGCTGTACCGGGCACATGACGAGAGATAGCAGGTTGAAAAGAAGACAGAGCAAGAGATGGGCTGACGATATAAAGAGAATAGGAGGCACAGCTAGGACAAGAAGAGCTTACATCAGAAAAGAATGGAAGCAGCTGGAAGAGGCTTATGTGTCACAGGACACGCTGATTACCTAAAACGGGTCATATGATGTATTAGAATAAAGTTTTATTATGTAACTTAAATAAGTGTTAATATTCTACGTTACTGGATGTCAGCAATAAAAGCTTAATAATAATAATAACCTATTTGTTACAGAATTGGTCGGACGAATTGCCGTCAGACCAAACCTCATGTATGATTCTGGTGATATGCATGCATTACTTCTACCTCACGAACTTTTTCTGGATGCTTGTTGAAGGTAAGATCCTTCTTTTATCAAGCATCATCTATTTGCTGTATTTGACTTTTGACTCACCACTTTAAAAAAAAGCAGTGTTCGGCTTCAACGTGCGAATCTCATCCCTAAGGTTGTAGGTTCAATCCCCAGCTGAGCAGCAATGGACTTGTTATGTGCGCATACGCTCGAACAGTGAGGGATACTATCGTGAGGAAACCGACTTGCCTTAGACCAAAAAGGCGATGGCGTGTGTCAGGCAAAGGGAGCTGATCACCTACTTGCCTATTAGATTGACAAATCATGAAACAGATACATAAATCTGAGGCTCAGACCTTAAAAGGTTGTAGCGCTACTGATTTATTTAATTTATCAAAACAAGAACTTAATTGTAAGTTCTATGAACTTTCCGGCAAAATAAATTGTTTTGGTTAGACACTTTTAAAACTAGAAGCTTGTGAGGTAAAGTAACTTCAAACAGCTTTTGCCGTACATTTATACCATACAAATTATTATCTAAAATACCCTGCCGGTCTTTTCTATATTAATCTAAAATAAGATGAAAAACCCATAAACTTGTTTGTTTTTGTTAGCTAATGTGTTCATTTGCCTCAGGCCTCTACCTGTACATGTTGGTTGTGGAAACTTTCACAGCCGAAAACATCAAGTTGAAAGTATACACGAGTATTGGATGGGGTAAGTTATAACTTTGTTTTATACTTAAAAATAACATGTAAACGTACTTGGAGTCATATGTTTTAATTTCACAAATCGAAAGAGAAAATTCTTTTGTTTTATATTATATATATAATTAGACTCTAGCTTTCTCGCTAATCGTATCATGAAGCTCCTCATCGATGGAGCATGTTCCGACCTAAAACCCGTGAATGCCCACAAGGCTTTGTCCTATCCCCGGCCCTTGACTGTATTTAACGAAGAGTGATTTGAATCGTCATCGACCAGTCACTTTCCGTGCAGTTTGATCCCTTGGTTTCCGTAGAGATGTAGGGTCTCTCTGCATCTTCTACCGCATTTACCACGGAGATTGTTCAGAGAAGCTGTTCGGATTAATACCTGCAGCTGAGTTTCATTATCGGACGTCAAGGCAGAATACATACAATACCTTCCGTATCACCTCGTCGTCCGTCGTTCCATAACTGTATTCGCACCACCAATATGTGGAACCAGCTGCCCATAAACATTTCAGAACCAATTGGACATAGTAATGAGCGTACCAATTCTTTAAAGCCCGGCAACACATTTGCTAGTCCTCTGGCATTGTCCATGTGCGGTATCACTTAACATCAGATGTCCTGCCCGTTTGCCCCCTGTTCTATAAAAACATACAAGAAATTATAAGCGATAGATAAGTCCCTATTGCATGGGGGCAGACCAAAAAAATGTTGACAGATGTTTGAAGTCCATAGTTTTTCTAAATTGCATTTAAACGCAGTCGTGCAGTGGCAGTTCTTACAGAAGTTTTTTTCGCTTAATCACTATTACCTAACTATTACTATTACTAAGTGTATATTTACCGTACTGTAATTGACTGTACAACATACAACACTCATCTGTGATTAAACCACATTGCAGCTAACGTCCGTGGCTGAATTTCATTTACATTTCCATTCCCGCAGAAACCAAAACTGATTTTTCCCAGAATTAATTAAATTAACAGTGAGTAGGCAAAGTGTAATTTGATTTATATTTTAACATAAGTACAAAGACGTATACTTGATAGTATTATTTAAAAGAAAAAAAACATGGCGATTAAAAAGAGTGGCGGAGAGTTTATTTGCCAGTTCTTCTCTTCCGTTCTACGCCCTTGATTTGTGAACTGGCAGTAAATGTAAAATTAGAAGCATTAATATGTATTTCTTTAATGACGAATCACAAGTGTACATTGTGTTACCTACGTGAATAAATGATTTTTGAATTTGAATTTGAATTACCATATATAACAGTACTTTAACGATGACAGAAAATCACTGTAATGACGTTCATAGCTGATTCTTGATCCCGCTCGGATGAAATAACTTTGAACGTCATATAACTTGATTGAAATGTTCTTTTATGATTGGACTGAGAACGAACTGCTCAACACCTCTCAGGTGTATTACGCGAATAAGTATTTTTAAATAAATAATTATTACGAATGAAATACAAAAGTATTTTTATCTTCTGTTTTTGAAGGTGTAATTTTTAAAATTTGAAAATTTTAAGCTCACCATAATTGTCATATATTAAAAATATGATATATTATGTGGTATAATTTAATAAATATATAAAGGCATCTCTATGGGCCCTAAATATGACGCTGAATTACTAGTTTTTACGAGGTGTATTGTACAAAATTATAACTCATGGTTCAAACTATACATTTGCCTCTCTATCGAAGAAATCGCGCTTTTTGTACGCCGAAAATATCAAATAAATTAAAATAAAAATAGCCTTTATTCGAGTACTATATTTAAATTATATTAAGTGTATGTTATTATTACATTGAATACACGACGTATACGACGATACTACCACGTCCTCTGAAGGAGTGAGCCTCCTCCAAATTCTTCCACATGTCTCTTCATCTCCCTGAATCAATAACCATTCATCTTTCCCTGGTGTCTCATCTTTCCAGGTTTCTGGTGGGCGTCCAATTATTTTAAAAATCAAATATATTGTATAAAAACTAGTTTTGCTAGCGTGCTTTAGCTAGGGAATTGTTGAAACGAATATGCAATATCGTATGTAATAAACGCGTGGCACTTTTTAAGAGTCAGGTTCAGAGTCCACTATGACTCAAGTACGTTAAAAACTTATACCATAAGTTCAAATGTGGGGTACGGGTAGGTTAGTTTATATAAAGAAATATAATTAATTTAATAATTAAGTATATCTATTAATTATTATAATTTACAGGCGCTCCAGCTATTTTCATCACAATTTGGGTGATAGCAAGGTGTTTCGTCACTGTGGTGCCATCTACTGGTCCTGATGGGGTAAGTTTTTTTAGCAAAAAGTTTAATACGCATAATACAACAAGTACAATGATATTGTTTGTGAAATAAATTTAAAGGCATAATTAATTTTAGTGTCTTGAATTTTTTATGGTTTATCTCTACACTAATACAGTGAAAGAAGATTTGATGGTTTGTTTGCTCTTAAAAGACTCTATTTCACTAAAAACTTCTTTCACGATTAGAATTACATTAATACAAAATATACTTGGCGCTCAAAAAGAGTGGCGGAGAGTTTGAGAGCCTGGATTTGAGAACTGTCTGTAAATGTAAAATTAGAAGCATTTAATGTATTTTTAAAGAAATATATGTTAAATGCTTCTTATTTTACATTTACTGCCAGTTCTTAAATTAAGGGCGTAAAATAAAAAAATAAAAAAAAATGTTTATTATGGAACATAAGATACATGTATCACTTATTCCACGTCATTAAATTTGAAGGCATCCCTACTCATCGGCAAAGAAGACAGAGGGTGTAGGCCGAGAGAAAAAGCCGGCGTAAAAAACTCTCGGTACTCTTTTAAAACAGCAAATCATCAAACAACACTTATTTAAAACAAATATCGCAAATTGATTAGAAGTAGCCTGTCTAGCACTAGTCCCAGGCCCTTTTATCAACTAGATAATCGTTGACTTTATAGTAAGCCTTTTACACAGCTTTTCTTTAATACATTTCTTAAATTTATTGAAAGGCAGTGATAAAAGAGCCTCTGGGATTTTATTAAAGAAGAGTATCCCTTTCCCAAAAAAAGAATTACTAACTTTAGATAGTCTAGTACGGGGAAATTGCAGCCTGCGTTTGTTCCGTGTATTAACATTGTGCGTATGTTCTATTCTAGTAAACTTATCACTATTTTTGTATACATACATAATATTTTCATAAATATATTGCGAGGGAAAGGTAAGTATATTAATTTCCTTGAATTTATCTCTAAGAGATTCCCTACATTTTAAATTATAGATTGCACGAATAGCCCTCTTCTGCAGGATGAAAATAGTTTCGACATCAGCAGCATGACCCCATAATAATAAGCCATAAGTCATTAAGCTATGAAAGTAACTAAAATAAACAAGTCTAGCTGTATCGACATCAGTTAGTGAGCGAATTTTTTTAACCGCGTAGGCTGCAGAACTAAGTCTCTTCGCCAATCCGTTAATATGAGGGGACCACTGAAGTTTTGAATCCATGGTGATTCCGAGAAATACAGTTGTATCATCCAGATTCAATTCCTCACCGTTTATAATTGGTCTAGTATCCATAACCCTTGCATTTTTTGCACAAAATTTAATGCATTTTGTCTTTTTGCATTAAGTAGAAGGTTATTCATACTAAACCAATGGACAATCGAAGACAGAGCATTGTTCACATCGTCAAAATTTGTTATTTGTCGTTTGATTTTAAAAATCAAGGACGTGTCATCAGCAAACAAAACTATCTGATGTTTTCTCTCTACCATGAAAGGTAGATCATTTATATAAACAAGAAAGAGGAAAGGGCCAAGAATTGAGCCCTGTGGTACCCCCATATCTACTGCCGACCCAGAGGACCTCTTACCATTCACTTCAACCTTCTGAGTTCTTCCGTGTAAATAGAAAGTCAGAAGATTCAGTGCGGTATTCTTGATGCCATAGTGGCGGAGTTTCCCGATTAAGGTCTCGTGTTGGACACAATCAAATGCTTTGGATAAGTCGCAGAAAACACCTAAAGCGTCATGCGACTCCTCCCAAGCCTTAACTATATATCTATATAACTCAACACCGGCATCGGCTGTCGAGCGACCCTTGGTAAAACCGAACTGATTATTATGTAATAATTTGTTTACGTTAAAATGACTTACCAGTTGATTTAATATAATTTTTTCAAATATTTTACTACAAGTAGGTAGTACGGAAATTGGTCTAAAGTTACTGGGGTCGGACATACTACCTGCTTTAAATAAAGGAATAACTTTACTATGTTTCATTAGATCGGGAAACTCGCCACTTTTAATACAATTGTTGAAAATTATAGCTAGATGGGGAGCAATTACATCAATTATGCTACTAATTATTTTTACAGAAATACCCCAAAGATCGGTAGTGTTCTTAATATCTATGGTTCTAAATATCCTCACTATATCGTCGGCACCAATGGGTCGGAATGAAAAACTGACCTTGCACTCGTTTACATTATCTTTGAGCAGCGATTCGGCGAGGGCGGGAGATGATTGAAGAGACTTAGTAGTCGAAATTGGAATGTCAGAAAAGTACTTATCAAAAACAATCGCTATCTCTTCGTTAGATTTGATTATAGTGTTATCGACACATAGTTCGATGTCTTGATTGCGATCCCTGACTCTTCCAGTTTCACTATCAATTATCTTCCAAGTCATTTTAGTTTTATTGGTACTATTTTTAATCTTGTTTTTGATATTTAAGGACTTGGCCGCGTAACAAACTTTCTTAAATAATTTCGAATAATTTCGAACATAAAGAATAAATTCTTCATTATGATTGTATGACTTTTCAGCGTAAAGGTCATACAACCGTTGTCTACTTTTATAAATTCCCGCTGTCGCCCAATCACTAAACGATTTACACTGCGAATGAGAGACTTTCTTTGGGGTAAAGATGGTGTTGAACTCTTTATTAATACAATCACTTAGATTGTTGTATTGTGTATCAACGGTAGTACCTACCGGTAATAAAGGTAGGCGTTTACCTATATTATGTCTAAATCTCACCATTCGCTTTTTATTCACTGCTCTTATTTACTTGTTTCACCACTTTACATTTTAGCGCCACTAACTGTCCACAATGATCTGAGCTAAGATCAGTTGTAATTGAGGTTTGCATTGCCTCTGCATCTGTAAATACATTATCTATACATGTAGCAGTGGAGCTTGTAATTCTAGTGGGCTCAAGAAACAAGTTAACAAGATTGTAAGATTTTAATAACAGATTGAATTTTTTACTAATGGAGGTATTTTCTAATAAATTTATATTGAAGTCACCACATACAATAATATACTTATTGTTCTTAAAACTAACTTTACACAAAATTTCCTCCAACTTTTCTTCAAAAAAATCGTAAGATGCACTTGGTGGTCTGTAAACACTTAAAATAATGCAATTCTCAATCTCTATACAGGCTACTTCCAAAGAGTGTTCTACAGACAGACACACGATGTCATTACGCTCTTTATACTTTAAATTTTTATTAACAATAATCAAAGAGCCCCCATGAATCGCCGACAATCTGCAAAACGAACTTGCAACTTGGTGCTGATCAAAGTTAAAGATGATTTGGCATTCTCTAAGCCAATGTTCGGTAATGCATAGGACATCAATTTTACTTGATTTTAAAAACAACTCCAATTCTAATTCTTTGCCCAACATACCTTGCATGTTTTGATGCATCAAGTTTAAACAGTTGTTGTTAGTAATATTACATGTTTGTGTTGAGCTGAGTTGTACTAAATTATTGCTAGAGTTTGCCTCTATTGTCACACTATCTAATTTAAATTATTAATACTTAATGAAGTGCTACTGCAAGTATCACTACATTCTTTTAAGCTAAGCTGCTCAATAGAAGCAGTTGTCTGAAAAGCTAAATGTTTAGCTTTAGTTGTAAATAAAAAGTAAGATAGCATAGTAGCTATCTGTTGTAAATAATAATTAGGTAGGCGGAACCTATCCTTTGTCAATACATACTTATTTTTAAATATACAATTTATGTCCATTAAATTAGGTAGTGTACCTAAGTCACAATTTAATTGTATATTGTTAGTAGTTAACGTATTGTGCAACAACATGTTTAACTTATATCTAATTTTATTTTCCTTTGGTGCACCTTTGATGTAAGGAAATGTATGCAAGACAATATTCTCTACATTAAGTGATTTTAATTTATCAATATATGACAACAATTCATTTTGTCCTACATTTCCCCTTCTCCCAAAAAGTAATATTAAAGTTGTGTTATTTGTGTAATTTCCACACAAGACTTTGTTGAAAATGGTTACAGGGGTGGCTCCGGGCATACAATGATTTGTTACAATTTTGCCGGAGGACTGATATAATTTAGTACCAATATTTTTTTTAACGGTATTATAGTATTATAGTAGAACGGAAGCGAAGAACTGGCAATAAATCGTAGGTTCGATGCCTGGTCGTAGGTTCGATTCGTGCACCAATGGACTTTCTTTCTATGTGCGCATTTAGCATTCGCTTGAACGGTGATGGAAAACATTGTGAGGAAACCGGCTTGCCTTTGACAGTCATAGGAGGCTGATCACCTACTTGCCTATTAGATTAACAAATTAAACAGATACAGAAATCTGAAGCCCAGATCTAAAAAGGTTGTAGCACCACTGATTTATTTATTTTTTAATCATCATTTTTAAAGCTTAACATAATTCAAAATAACAATTTCATTTCTATTTTTCGTTTTAAAAATCTTGTCAAACCGCCCATTTCCATTGTTATACAAATTATGTAAAATTACAAGCGAATTGAGATTTTCTACGGCAAAAAATTGCTAAAGTTCTCTAAATGTGCCCTGTGATTGTGAAATTTTATTCTGTTCACAACTTAAATGTAATCTAATTTCAGGACCTCCAAAAGATTATTCAACCTTGTTTAAATTTCGGACTTTTTTACGCATATTTATACTTGTTTTACCAGGACCACCGTAACTTTCTTGCTCCTAACATTTAACAAATATATCGAAATGGCTAGATTTGTTTATTACATTCCCCCTTTTTTGTATTTCTTAGGATTAACTGTGATTATCTTTTAATTTTTTATATATATCTTTATCTTGCAATCAGTTAGCTAGACTATGAGCAGATGTGTTGAGAGCTGTTAGGCGTTCAGAGCAAAATCTCCATCGAGACTGCTCCTCTATTTCAACCGTGTCTATCAAGACTTAGGATTTGTCGCCTTTTAAACCTATTTATTAGGTCTGGTAGCTTGCCACGCAACTATGGTTAGTGAGGATGCATTTTTAGCCCCTTTCTGTATTTCATACTCCAGGTCTTGATTTCCTCTTTGACAGTCCTGATTTTTAGGTGCTCATGAATCGCCGATGTTTTTATAAACCACGGACAGTTGGATATTTGTTTCAAGATGTAATTTTGAACCCTCTGTATGATACTTATGTCACACGCCGAACCACATAGTTGAATCCCGTCCAAATTGGTTTCAAGAGCATTTCGTAGATGAGTAGCTTATTATCTATCTTTTAATTTAAACAAATTATGAATGTTAACTCTATTGAATTAGTATTACTTTTTTAGTCGTCAAGCGCTGTGTGACTGTAGGAGTACAAATCACTGCGATTAGGTCATCCCCTAAAACGCGCTAGCGAAATATTTCCCGCTAAAGATATTTACAAATTCTCAATAAGTCAATGGGGTTATCCGAGCATTGTTCGCGCATTGTGTCCCCTCCCATATACTCCGTCTCTTCTTCTCTTCTTCGTGGATCTCCACCAAGATGAAGTTGGCGTCTACACGCCACTTCGAAAAGGCTAAACACCATCCCAAGCCTTTGGCGCGTAAAAGCATAAATTATTACCACTTTCCGAACCTTCCAGCCCTTCAGGCCAACAGTTACAATCCATCCAAAAAATAAACCAGCCCATTGAGCCATTGGGGCTTTCAATCCAGCCAGTCAGTGATTAAACTGGTCGAGGTATCTCTTTAGGTTGAAGGAACAGTAGTCCATCCTTCCCCCACATTATTGTTACTATTGTGAAAAAATATAAAATATATATAATGAAACACAAAAGATTAGAACGTGTAGGTACTTTAGACTTTTAAAATCTACTGAGGTTAGGTTAGTAACAAGTCCGTTCGCACTAAGTCTAGAAATAAAAGTGAGTCAACGCCGGTGTTGCCACGCTTTATATATGTTTCTGCTACAATATGGCGTTAGTCCGCTAACACGGCCTCTCCTGACACCCTGACGTCCTCGTCAGGATTTGATGTCCCAGCGTCTATACTGTGATCTCTGTGGGTAGAATAGAACGTTAGAACAATACAGTTCTGGGAAGGTATTGCGTCGTCTATTTGGTCAGCAGCTGAACATATTTACTTGGTTTAATACAAACAATCAAAGTAATGAAAGATAGAAAGGAACTTTAAAGTATCAGACTCCAAGGAATGAGTGAAAGATTATTTATAACCCTTACAAGATTTGAAACAAACTATCACTTTCATGTGTAAAGGACTTGTGTAAACAATTACAAGTTTAGTGTCACCATAAGGTATAAAGGTCTACTTATTTCTCAAGAAGATCGTGAGTTTGGGGCTGGTTACCCTGTCCATTGATCTTTTTACCATTCATAAAGGAAGATCGTGAGTTTGAGGCTGGTTACCCTGTCCATTGATCTTTTTACCATTCATACAGGAAGATCATGAGTTTGGGGCTAATTACCCTGTCCATTGATCTTTTTACCATTCATACAGGAAGATCGTGAGTTTGGGGCTGGTTACCCTGTCCATTGATCTTGTTACCATTTATACAGGAAGATCGTGAGTTTGGGGCTGGTTACCCTGTCCATTGATCTTTTTACAATTTATACAGGAAGATCGTGAGTTTGGGGCTGGTTACCCTGTCCATTGATCTTTTTACAATTTATACAGGAAGATCGTGAGTTTGGGACTGGTTACCCTGTCCATTGATCTTTTTACCATTTATACAGGAAGATCGTGAGTTTGGGGCTGGTTATCCTGTCCATTGATCTTTTTACAATTTATACAGGAAGATCGTGAGTTTGGGACTGGTTACCCTGTCCATTGATCTTGTTACCATTTATACAGGAAGATCGTGAGTTTGGGGCTGGTTACCCTGTCCATTGATCTTTTTACAATTTATACAGGAAGATCGTGAGTTTGGGGCTGGTTACCCTGTCCATTGATCTTTTTACAATTTATACAGGAAGATCGTGAGTTTGGGGCTGGTTACCCTGTCCATTGATCTTTTACAATTTATACAGGAAGATCGTGAGTTTGGGACTGGTTACCCTGTCCATTGATCTTTTTACCATTTATACAGGAAGATCGTGAGTTTGGGGCTGGTTATCCTGTCCATTGATCTTTCAAAAAGCAAATATTACAGAATTAGATAGCTTCAGACTTAACACAAATAAAGATAAAACTCAGTATATTTGCAATACACCGTCGTATCGACAGTGGCTCCTAGTGCTCTCATAAGCGACAATTTTTTAAAACAGAGACTCATACATTTTGCATCTTCTCTAAGTGGTCTAAACACATTAGCACCAGAAAAACTTAAAACAGAGACCCATACACTTGTATGTTCTCAAAGTGGTCTAAACACATTAGCACCACAAAAATTTAAAACAGAAACCCATACCTTTGCATGTTCTTAATAACAAAGACCAGATCATCCTTCTGGAATTTACAAGGGGGGTCTACGACCCACATTAACGACAGTGTCCTGATTGATTTGACTGTTCTTCAACCGTTCGGCCGTCCTCTGTCAAAGCATCTCTCGTCTACCTTGCTGACTAGACGATCCCGAATTTAATGCGACACTGTTGCACTCTCATGACAAACAAACAAACACAAACAACACTTTAACACAAAGAGCACTTTTTAAAATGTTAATCACTCGTGACTTCGTACATTACGGACACAAAGAGAAGGAAAATTTAAACCACAAAGATTACTCAAAACAAAACAAAAGAGAAGTGAGCGAAAAGTTCAAATCCCAATTCTGATATAAGAAACACAAAAGATTAGAACGTGTAGGTACTTTAGACTTTTAAAATCTACTGAGGTTAGGTTAGTAACAAGTCCGTTCGCACTAAGTCTAGAAATAAAAGTGAGTCAACGCCGGTGTTGCCACGCTTTATATATGTTTCTGCTACAATATGGCGTTAGTCCGCTAAAATATATATAATGAATAGAATTTCCCAATGATTCTAAAGCTTTTATTGTTTCAGCTAACACTACCTGGAGATGCCAAAATGTGCACATGGATTCATGAACATCAAGTAGATTGGATTCACAAGGCACCAGCGTTAATCGGTCTTGCGCTCAACTTATTTTTTTTAATAAGAATTATGTGGGTGAGTATTTGCCAATACTTGACGAAAAGTTTTTATACTGAAATTATGATTTGAATTAATTGGACCGAGCCACTGAATATTACAAGTAAATTTTATGAATTCCAAAATAAAATTTACTATTTTTGTAAGGAAAGTTTATTTTGAAGTTGGCAAAGCCTCCGTAGGCTCTCCTATCGTACTCTAAACTCTAATATTATCTCCCTTTCAACTAATTCTTTAGCAATTTCCATTGAGCAATATATATGTAATACGCAAATATACGTATAAAGCTATGCAAATGAAACTACTAGATTCCTATTCAAAAATAACACAATTCCCGTCTTTCTCGCCCATTTACTTAAGTTATAGGTAGGTATAAATCTGAGGGCCAGACCTAAGATATTGTAGCGCCATTATTATAAACGAGTATGTAATATATTGTAGGTACATCTTTATTACCATTTTAAGGATTTCCATATTACTGGGGAAACATTTTCCACTAGCAACACTAGCTCATGATTGTACAGGAATCGGCAGAATAGTTCAATTGTTCTAAAATAAATATTTTCCTCAGGTCCTAATCACGAAGCTGCGTTCAGCGAATACCCTCGAAACAGAGCAGTACAGAAAAGCGACGAAAGCGCTTTTAGTGCTGATTCCACTTCTGGGCATCACCAATCTGCTTGTACTCTGTGGACCAAGTGATGACTCATGGTTCGCCTATGCCTTCGACTATAGTAGGGCGCTAATGCTCTCCACACAGGTGAGTAACATAGCGAGTTGTCAAAACAAAATTGATTCATTATGCCGGAATTAATTTCACTACATTTGTGTGTGTTGTCATTACCCGTATCACCTCGACGTCCGTCGTTCCACAGAACGTTTCTTAAGGCAAATTTTGCCGTGCACCACCACTATGTGGAACCAGCTGCCCACTGAAGTATTTCCGAACCTATTCGACTAAGGGTCCTTCAAGAAAAAAGCGTACCAATTCTTAAAGGGCCGGCAACGCACTCACGAGTCCTCTGGCATTGAGGGTGTTTATGGGTGGTGAATTCACTTAACATCACATGAGCCTGCCCGTTTCAGTTTTTCTAGAATAAAAAAATGTGATGGTGCCTTAGCCCTTAAATCCCGTTACCGTCTGGAAGTTCACATTAGGTATAAATAATATCTATATCATGTTATTACCACCACTACTTCATGAATTTGCTTGTCTTTCCGCAGCCGTACACAAATTAATTACAAAAATCCATAAACTATAATGCTGTGCAATTATTTAATGGACTACCGTCAAATTCGCAATTTTTACGTATTTAATCTATTTAAAAGGACATTAAAGATACATTTTGAGCCCAGAAGACTAAAACTACGAAATTAAAAGTCTATGTGTCACTAAAATAAAGGTTCCAAAAATTCCAAAAAATAGTCAACTATAAGCACTTATTCATAAGAAATAGACTAAAGTATCAGTTCACAGCGTATACATAATTTGATAGACAGAGACAAAAGTGTATTTTATTTAAAAGGATACTTTAACTAATAATTCATAATAATATTGAAAACAATTATTTCTGAGCAAATATTAATTTGTATTATATAAATGGAAACCGCTAAAATCTGTTCGTGACGTTGAAAATGCTTATTCAACATTAAATAGGCGTCTGCTTTTGACGGATTGATGAGCAAATTAGACAGAGATCTTAATCATTGTTCGACTATTATGAAAATGTCTCTTCAGGACTTTGGATTGTGTTTATAACTATGGGTATTCAACTATTCAACTTCTTACGAAAGGAAAACTAAGTTTCTTTACACATTACACAAATTGAATTTAGAATTAAAATCTTTTTTTATCTATGTTTAATCAAGTGCCAGTGATCTCTTCGATGGTAGTGATAATTATTGCAGACCCTCGGTTGTAAATACATTTTAAAATTTAATTTCTTTGTAATACTAGAGTTACTAGAACTAAAAGTCTGCTATACGTACCAACGGCTTGCTTATCTGCTCCCTCTCGCCTAAAAGAGGAGGCCTATGGCCATTAGTGGGACATATACAACGTGTAATTGAGTACGCTGAAAATATCGAAGTTTATTAAAATTAAACTGAGTAGGGACGATTTTTACTGATAGGGCCCCATCAAAAGAATTGCCACGAAAGAAGATTTGCCACGGGCCCCAGATGGTATAGTGACGCCACTGTCCAATGAGTAGGCTATCTCGCTCTTACAACTGAATTACTTACATTGATTAAAATATTGATATATTTTACAACAATCTTCCAACTTACCGTAACTTTATCATGCTCTTATTGTTTATGATTCTATTTAGTTTTAGTAATTATTTTTTGTGGTTGCTTGTTTAATTATTTCCCCTATATAAATGAACAGGATAGCTGGAAACCATGCAGACTCACACACAACATGTAACAACTTCGTGGCTTTTAATCCCCCTTAAGATGTATCTAATTACTGAGGTACACCTAACCTCGAACTTTCTAGAATAATGCTTAGCACATAATCCCATAAAAGATATTTTACATCGCTTTTTCTTAATAATACAATCTCAGCTTCGATCCCTATAAGCCCTTTATTAAAGGCCTCTATTGGCCTTTTGTTAAAGTACAATAATTGTATCTCAATTTTAAAGCCAGCACCACTTCTAGGCGTAAAATTCTAGTAATTATTTAAGTAGTAAGTTTCATGTTGTGTTATTCCAATTATAGGTACAATTTTTTTTAAAATTTATGTATAATGTATATTGCCGAAAAAAACCAGAGTATCCCTTTGGAGTAAAGACTCTTGGGACGTGGGATTCAAGTGCACAGGCGCTAATTAAAGATTTAAGTTGTAGGTAGATACCGGTGACCCCAGAGCTGGTGCTTTCCTTGCTCAACGAATAAATATCGCAATACAGCGAGGAAATGTTACAGGGACCAAACTTTTAAAATTTGTTTTATTTTTCTTTTTATTAATTTTTAATTATTTTTATTATTACTATGTAGGTTAAGAAAATAGTAACAATATATTTTCCCTCCTAAGTCATACCAATTTACTTATTCTAATAATACCGTTAATAAAAGCTTATTTCTTAATTCACAGTGTATATATAAAACCGACCACAGATAACAGTTAAACAATACAGCGGTGATTAAAATAATAAAATAAAATATGTTTATTATGGAACATAAGATACATGTATCACTTATTCCACGTCATTAAATTTGAATTTGTAGGCATCTCCCTACTCATCGGCAAAGAAGATAGAGGGTGTAGGCCGAGAGAAAAAGCCGGCGTAAAAAACTCTCGGTACTCTTTTAAAATAGCAAATCATTGTTTATGGACTATCTATGGTTTTAATCTTTAAGAGTCGTAAACAATAATGTTCTAAGGAAGGCTCTTCAGGTTTGTTGAATTTGCTAAATTAATTAATTTCCTTCTCAAATCTTGTTAAAGAACAATTGTGTTGCGTTCGTGCACTGAAAATGTCGGGGATTTTCTTACCTAGAAAAAGTAATTGAAGAGTGAACTAATTGAATCGCAAGTCTAGCACGACATCGAGAAAATGGAACTTTGACGTCAATGTTCTTAAGAGAAATAAGTGATCCGTCTTTTTTCATCACAGCGTGAACTCCATTCGATGAAAAGAAATGAGTGTGTTTACTAAATCGCACATTTAATTATTACTAGATAAGCCGGTGAACTTTATACCTACATATATTTGTGTTATAACTTAATAAAAAAATATTAAAAGAGACAAAAAAACAACAAAGTGACAATTTTTTATTTCTAAAATGACAAAAGACATGAAATAGTTCCCAGCTAAGAATAATTTTTAATGGAAAATTCAATACTCGTTTTAAGTATTTTCCTTTAATTATTATTGATATTTCCCACTGTTTAAACCTTCCTTGAACATCCACAAATATTTCAAGATCAAATTAGCCACACCGCGCCGGTCCAACCATTCTTGAGTTTTTGTGGGAATTTTGTGGGTTTTATGAATAATGTAACTGCAACTTAATGTTTTATTAAACCAGAGACCGTACCATAGCCGTCCCTATTATTTTTAAGATAAGTTTAAGGAGCAAGCAGCAACCTTATTCAAGTTAGATGTATTTAATACCTTAAAGGATCTTAAGTTTTCTTTTCCTTATTCTCTCCAGGGTTTTACAGTTGCGTTGTTCTACTGCTTTATGAATACCGAAGTCCGGCACGCGATTCGGTACCATGTGGAGAGGTGGAAAACTGGACGAACGATTGGCGGGGGAAGGAGAAGGGGAGCGTCTTACTCTAAGGATTGGTCTCCAAGATCAAGGACGGAGAGCATTCGGTAAGTATCCCTTATAGTCTTGTTTATTACCTCGCCCCTTCCATATTAAGAAGCACGAAAGATTAACATCACTCTTTGGATAAGAAGTTTAAGAGGTATCCCTTGGCAACGCATGCATGCATACATTAGTCAAGATTTTTAATAATTAATGTCAATTATTAGCCCCAATTATGACACTTATAAGTTACAAGATCCACGCAATAATTCCCCCTTAAAACCCCATTACGTTTATTATTTATTGTAGGGCAATGTTTTTAGATAAATTAAAAGTAATTCAAATGGAGTTCGGATTTTGGCAGATTTGGGCAATTTGTTATGTAATCCTAAGATTAATATTTAGAATATTCAATGCGATTACTCCCATGTCTTACGGCAGCCATGGTATACATAGGACAAAAATAATACTCCTTGTTGAGTGTACTTAGACAAATATAAATCTATAGGGTGTCAGTATAGGCCTAGTGACTCTAATCCCTGAGGTCGTAGGATTGATCCCCAGCTGGACTTTCTGGACCAATGGACTTTCTGTCTTTGTGCGCATTTAACATTCACTCGAACGAATAAAAAAAATGTGAGGAAACCGGCTTGCCTTACCCAAAAAGTCAACGAAGTGTAAGGCAAATTCAGGCACAGGAAGCTGATTACCTTGCCTATTAGATTGACAAATGATCATGAAACAAATACAGAAATATGAGGCCCAGACCTAAACAGGTTGTAGCGCCACTGATTTATTTATTTTAAGCCAGTATAGGACATAATTCAAAATAAACATCTTATTACGATTAAATACGATTTTGTTATAACTATCTATTTCTATATCATTTAAATCGGGGTAAACCTGTATAGTAAGTATTGGCTCAAAGTCAATATCCAATCACCGTTTGACCAGTAATAAATTGTCTCCGATCGAAGCCTTTTTGTTTTTTAAAAACAATAAACTGTTAGGGTGCGTCCACATCTGGTGAATATGCCTCGAATGTGCAGCTCGCGAGCCGTTTGCGAGCTGCGCGCGTGCATTTTTGTTCGTGCGCCGCTCCTGCGCCGCCCGCGCGCACGCCTTATACGAGCCTTGCATGAGTTGCGCTAAAGAGGCGCACCAAACCATTGCCGTGACTGGACGCGTGCAGCTAGCAAACGGCTCGCGACCTGCACATTCGCGGCATATTCACCAGATGTGAACGCACCCTAATAGTCTTGCATGTTTACCATAGCTTAAGGATATCCACCCAAAATTCATGTTTGATCATCAATTTCTCTTCACTAGGCTCACCGTTTGAACGTGGCCATTGGATATGCATTTATGAAGAGGAGCCATCTTGGATTCGGATTATATTTTGTTAATTTGTTATTTTAATAAATTTTATGTTAACGCTTTTTTATGTTTTATTTTTCGCTTTATGCATGCTGGAACATATTTTATTACCTTAATCACGCTTCATATCACCTATTTTAGTTATAAATGTCCGAATGAACAGTACATATATATAAAACTAAAAAATTGTATCGAATGGGACTTGTGTACATAAGATGAATTAAATGTTAATACGTACTTTGTATATGTTTTGTAGAAATTCAGAGATTAATAAAACTTTTTTTATATAGTCTAACAAGTAAAATGTGGGACAGATTATATAGCCAGCCTTCAAAACGGGAATCAGCTGCGTCTGAGACGACTACCACAACGTTATTAGTGCCTAGGACATCACTGGCTCCTCACTACGACACCAAGCACTTACATGCCGTAAGTTTAACTTAAAATTGGTTCGTAGCTCAAATCATAAATCACTTATCTCGATGGTATACTATTAGACAGGTTAGATAGATAGAGCTAATAGGCTGGTTTTAGAGTCACGCTCGGCGCTGGCGGATCAACTCGTAGCTGTCAGCGCGTAGCTGTCAGCGCCAACTCGTTTCAGAGTTATTCTGAACGTGGCGAAGTACAGACGTGCTCACCATGAATGTTCGAGTTGCTGCCGTGTAATATTTATGGAAAAAGAAAAGAAGACTTCAACAGCTCGTCTCTTCAACACTCGTCAGCGCTGAGCGGTCGGCGTCACTCTGAAACGCTCCTATAGTCACCATACATATTGGTCTCTCAGTGCCGAGCGTGAGCGTGACTAAAACCCGCCATATAGTCATTCGGCGGTTTGCACGGTGTTTGCAAGAGGCTAAATTGGCTGTGCCAAAAATCAATCTGGAACTGTTTAGGAAAAACACCTTTTGTATGTCAATTAAGGTTTACAATAAATTACCAAAAGAATTAAAAGATCTTCCGAATAGAGTCTTTAAAAAGCGACTTGGTGTATTACTTTTGGAAAAAATTTAGTATTCAATAAATGATTATTTGCGTGAGAAACTGTAGTTGATATAAATTTAATAAAGTATGATATGATATGTACGATATAAGTAATATAAGAATTGGCATTGACTAATAATGTAAAATGTAAAATTCCTTAAGACAAATTTGCGCGCCATTGTGTGTGGCAGAATATGCGAACTGACGATTGTACCACCTTTTTGTACCATATTCTAAATCACGCTTTTTAGAGCATATTACATACATAATTAAATGCCTGTAGTCTGTGGTATCAAATCTGAGTTCAGGATGTTGATGGGGCACCCTAGCTATTGCAGTGCGTCGACAATGTTTGGTTGGGCAGGTGTGGACTATTTTTACGTCATGATGCGCCAGCGAGCTGTATCTCTGGTAAGCGGCGTGCGGGGACGCCCTAACAGTATGCTTGCGGTTATAACGGGAAGGCTGGATTGCCCTTACATGGGTCATTGGAATGAACTGCATGTGCCCTTTTTAATATACTCTAAGCTAACCTACTAATAAAGTATTTGTCAGTAACACTATTAAAACACATATTTTGGTTTTTAAATCTTGCAGGATTACATTACAAGTGGGAGCGCGAGCGGCGAGCAATCCCCCGTGTGAGGAGGGGGGCGGGAGAGGCGCCTGCGCACCTTGCCCGAAGAGGACGCTCCTCCCGCCTTAGATCACAAACAAATGCCGTCCCACAATGGAACTCTAGATATATCATCTGTGGAAGTGTCTATTCCCGTCGAAAATGATCTCAGGTCAAAATGTTTAAACGGTCTATATGTATTACCACTTGAGAATCAGTAGGTAATTTAATAAAATAATTAGTTAGTTGTAATATATTTACATATTAGTTCAATCTACCTTTAATTGTCATGTATTTAACTTGATACTTTTATAAGGGCCCTTACACTGTAACTTACAAAAGCGATTCCAATCTCAATAATGAGTGTTTGTTCCGCGCGATTCCACAAAGACAACAGCGCCACAGATATTGAGAGAACAACATCGAACTGGCATACGTCGGGCCGTTGTAGAATACGCAAGAGTAACCAAACAACGTATTGTTAATATTCTAAAACATAGGATTAAATGAGTGGGTTTTTGTTTGTTCTTTTTATATCCAAAGGTACGATTCCACCAAAATAGCGTGCAGTACTTTTGTTTACAAACATTTTGTGCAAAACTCTCTGCTATAGCAGAACACGTTCTAAGCGCGTACCACGTTTGGCTTCAATCTCCACCGGCAATCCTGTGCGTAACTTTTGTGAGCGTACAATGTTGAGCACTTGTTCACGGAGAAGATTTTCTGCCGACAGTTGCTAATATAGATGGGCAGGACAACGTTGTGCCTTTGTAAGGCACAAGAACATATGTTCTTGATCGTTCAAAAAATTACTTGACATAGTAACACAATTAAATGTGTTCGCAAGCATGATTGAGTTCGCGAACAACCAGTGTGTGCACGTCGACACGAGTCCACTACTTGTACCGTGTTGAACTTTGCTAAAATATTCGCGCACAATTTGTTATTGTTTGCTTCAGTGAGTCCAAAACCAACATTTGTGCCGTACGCCGTGCCGCACAGTTCAGCATACTGGTGGAATCGTAACTTACAGGTATATTTCTCTGTACCAGTGACGGTAGCAGACTTTAAGTTCTTTGTTACTCAACGATAAGATAATCGAAATACCATACTGGGGTATACCATAAGCATCGTCCCTCGTACGAAATAACTCAGCGACCGTTTTGGCAACTGTATATATAATCTATTTAGATGTAGATTATATTAGTAGAATAAGGTAAGTCATATATGCTATTGAGTTAAGTAGCCCTAACATATAGCGCTGTATAGATAGATACGTTGAGGATAAGATTGTTTGATTGATATTTTATTTGTTCTCTCAAACATCACACATGTTACAAGATACAGATACTTATGCATGAATGAATGTATGTTATAGAAAAGATATAAGACATTACATGTGTGCAAATGTAATATCTTATAAAACTTGGGGCGCAGTGCGAACCATGAAACTTCCTCACAATCGAGTAGCCCGCATTATCGCACACAACTCACGAGGGGACTCTTTGTATTGAAGAAGTCGCATGGGTTCAGATGATGTTACATACAAACAATTTAAATAAATTTATATTTCATGATTAATTCATACTCAGAGACGTTCTTTATGAGTTAAAGGTTACAAATTCACCTCAGATCCAATCAAAGATGCCGCTTTGAAGTCACTACTTGCGCTTAAAATGTAATGACTAAATTCAGTTATTATATAACTGTTGGTTAGTTAAAACATTATAGTTATGAAATTATTGATAATTGATAACTCTGATTACCCAATGCACTACTTTATAAAATCTTAGTTGCGTTAATATTGATTCGGATGTTGCTTTTGTGGATATATACGTAAATATATTTATAGTGGTTTTTGGTGTCCCGTTACCTCTCAATGGGACCTCTCATATTTCTCCGTCTCGTTAGGTAGTAGGTAGCAATGTGTCTGCTTACCAAAACAATTTTTCATCGGGAATCAAACTAAGATCTTCCAGGTTAAATGCGATAGTGATTCAGTTTTTCTTTAGATGTGTCACGATGTACAAATGAATTGAATATGTATCATAATATATGTATATGTGAAAATCGCTATTTTCTATGTTAAATACATTCTATGTTAAATAGATTAACATTCATTGTATATAGTTAAAATGTTATAAATTACTTAATATGATATATTTTCGGACGTTATTTAAACTCATAGTCTAAGACAATTTTTTTTGTCACCCCCAACAAGTATTTTAAAGAAGCAACAATATCCAAATGCTAGAAATGGATTTATCCTAGTTTCTCCAAAGCGAAAATGGAAAGATTTCAACGATTAACACAAAATAATCCATAAAACTACAAAATTTAAAATATATAAATGTGTTGCTATGACAATTTGTAAATAGGAATTACTCCTACACATTTGTAAGATTTTCATTACTTTCAGCAGTGTTGGCCTAATGGCTTCAGCGTGCGACTCTCATCTGAGTTCGTAGGTTCGTGCCCCGGCAGAGCACCAATGGACTTACATTCTATGTGCACATTTAAAATTTATTCAAACGGTGAAGCAAAAAATCGTGAGGAAAGCCTTCCTTAGACCCAAAAAGTCGACGGCGTGTGGGGCACAGGAGGCTAATCACTTGCCTATTAGATTGACAAATGATCATGAAACAGAAACAGAAATCTAAAGCCCAGACCTAAAAGGTTGTAGCGCCACTGATTTATTTTATTATTTTTTTAATTACTTTGAGAGATTTTATAATTGTCATCTTTCGCGGATTTTTTTAAACTATGATTGCCGTATGTCAAATCCAAAAAGTATCATAAATTCCATTTTAATTTTTTTAAGTATAAATTTCATATAATTGAAATTGTATGAAACTAATTTAAACAAAATACCTCTTACATAACTGTGAATGTAGCATAAAATATAGTGTATTTAAAAAAATATTTTATATGCCGTGTATAGCTTATGCAAAATCTGTATTTACGATTAACAAAGTTTGTTATAGAAGTGTTTGGTACTAAAAATATCGGTATTTTATGAACAAAGAAGCTCATGTGAACAAATGAAAGACGAATCAGAACATGACGTATAGTGTCGCTTATCCAGAGCCAAATGTCAAAAATCATTTAATCATATATGTACATGGTACACTTATGAACGTCAAAAAATAAATGTATATGAAATGCTTCTAACTTTACATTTAGTGTCAGATCTCAAATCAAGGGCGTAGATCGGAAGAGAAGAACTGGCAATAAACTCTCCGCCACTCTTTTTAACCGCCATGTTTTTTTCTTACACAACGTTTGTACAGCAAAACGAACGGTGCCACCACTACGTCTTTTATTTTTATAAGGCTCCCCTTTTTCCTTTTCCTGTATTATCACAGAATGAACATGATTTGCCATTATGATATTTTAGTAAAAAAGTAATATGAGGAAATGTAATGCATAGTAATAATAAATAGTTTCGTCTTAGTAAATCTTTCATGACATATTAATATTGTTTGATCCCGTGTTTGCTATTTTCATCATTACTGTTAGAAGAAGTATGTTTTATTACTATGTTTAACATTAGTAAAAACTTTTGAATTTAAAAATAAACAACTTTAGATATATAGGCGGAAGCGTAGAGTCCGTGTGATATTTTGTATTGTAAACTTCCTTTTTTTTAGATATGGAGAATTATTCTTAAGCCAAAATGTGTCAGAAGGTAATTTGGCTAGCATCGCGTCTTTTCATTTTGTAACAGATTATAAAAAACAGCATTTACGACTCAGGCCAAATTATTTGCTGATCGCAAATTTAGATATAAAATATTTTTAATATTATATTAAGTAATGCCAATGTCTAACATAAGAAAAAATGGGAAACAAAACGCTATTTGCTTATAATAATTAGAGATATTCCATTAAACAAATGGTTATGTAATTATAAATTCTAATTGTTGTCTTGTAAATAGTCTGAAACCTTTATTGTAATTCCATATTCGTCGTTTGTGTATATATCACTTGTAAAGCGTTGATAATTAAGATGTGTCTATATAAAATCCTAAAACATTACCTATATTTTGTTTGCCCTTTCTCCACTGCTCCGGTCCGGTGTCGGATACCGGAATGAGTCATGAGAAAAATATCGGAAGGCCGGATTGCGCTTCTCCACTATATCCGATCCGACAATAATCGATACTTGTATATTTATCATGCAACACTTATATTAACTAAAACCCATATACTTTATTTTATTAATAAAAAGTTCTAAATTCTTAATATTTTATTGCCCTGACAAGTTTATTACTTTTTTTATACTGTCTATCTTAAAATATTATAATCTACTTAATAAATAGTTCACTAATACTATGGTATAAACATATAAATAAATAGCAACATAATTTGGTTTGGTCCAGGTTATCCAGATTCTTTCAAATTAAAGAAACTATAAATAAACACCACGTTCCGATCTAGCAAGTTATCGGATCGTTAAAAACCGGATGCCGGAGTAGTGGAGAAGTACGTAAGTACTACTGTTGTGAGTTTCTAAATCGGATCGGTAATTAACGTTTGCCGGACCGGAGCAGTGGAGAAACGGCCTTAGATTATAACGATTATAAGTCTCTAGTTATTATAACGTTTAAGAATGGATGTATGTTGTGTAATACAAAAATCCTGTACGTAATTTACAGATAGGTTTAAAATATTCAAATTATTATTATTAAATAAGTCAAGGATATTAGTGAATCTAAACATTTTCGTTCATTTATACCTAGTACATAGTAATATTGTATAAAAAGATTACTTAAAAGGAAAAAGTATCAATTCTTAGTTCCTAAACATATTGTTTATTTATATATATAGCTTAATAATACTGTTATGCTTTGAATCATACAATTTTCATCTTTGTATACGCGATGTTTATAACAGATGTACAATTTTCATGTATCGTTCATATTGCATACTATGTGAATATATAAATGTTTGTATGTTTAATAAATATTTAAAATACCAGCTTTTCTTGTTTAATTACTCTTAACACGTTCACTGCGTAACAGGCCGAT